TATCAACACAGTGTTGTAGTTTATTTAGAAATAGCTCCACAGACTAACAACAATAATCACAGTCTCTGGAGAGTTGTTCCTGTAAGGCAGAGGGACGCTCTGGAACATTGCAGGTGCAGTTTTACTGAACACTTACTGCACTAGTTTCCTGTAGCTCTGCTCAGCGCCTTGCTATTAGTCAACATGGGTACATTAGTGTCGTCTATGTCCCTCAGTCTCTTCCTCTCAGCATGTCTCAGATGTGTTTTGTCTTGTGGATACTCCAGCTTCTATGAATCCATCACATCCATCAGTTTCTTCCTGTGTGTCAGACATTTATTAATGCTCATCATGTTGATCAGACTGATGTATGATGTAGACAGATAATGTACATATTATGTGATGGAAACACATAAAAATGTGTCCCCGAGTGCAATGCTCTGATGTTTGTAATATTTTTAGATAGCTCTTTCAGCTCTGTAGCACTGAGAAACAAGATATAACCAGCTTCACTTACACAGGCAACCCTCAGCTTACAATACATTTAGAATTGATGGGGATACTTTCATTGTTGTTTTGATTTTTTTTCATGGGACTTGTTGTCCATAAGAAATATGAAGGTGACCAGTACATCCATCCATCCATCATCTTTGCTGTACACCTTTTGCTACTGCAAAGGCAACAGTGGGTGAAAGTTTATGGATGTGATATTAATATCTGTTCTTTATAATTACAAGTTCTCCTTCAGCTCATTCTGCATGTTTCTTAATAAAGCCCAGTATCTCCATTATTAGGGAACCATAGTTACATTCTTAACTCTGGTTTTTCTTGGGCAGGTATGATTCAGGCCACATCTGGGTTTTTCACATATTTTACAATCATGGCTCAGAATGGATTCCTCCCATATGACCTGGTGGGGCTCAGAATATTTTGGAACGACAAACATCTACATGACCTGGAAGACAGCTATGGCCAGGAGTGGGTCAGTAATGCCAATATTACTAAGAATTAAATTCAGTTCAATTCAGTTTATTTGTATAGCACCAAATCACAACAAAAGTCGTCTCAGGACACTTTACAAAGTAAGGTCTAGACCTTACTAAAATTATTATTATAGAGGAAAAACCCAACAAATCCCCCTTGAGCAGCACTTGGCGACAGTGGGGAGGAAAAACTCCCTTTAATGGAAGAAACCTCCGACAGACCCCGGCTCTTGGTGGACGGCCTTCTGCCTCGACCAGTTGGGGTGAGTGGATAGACAAGAGAGAAACGAAAAGAAAAGCAACAAAAGGCAATAAGACACAATGGCAAACAGTCAAGCACTGGGCAGGTTGATATGGCCGGTGACTGTTCATGAGAAATGTAGAGCTCCAGAGCCAGAAAGGTACAGGGAGAGAGAGAGAGGAACACACTACGGGAGAGAGGAGACAAGCAGTTAGTGACATGTAGTGGTGGCATATGAATTGCATGGAGAGAGAGGAGAGGAGAGGAGAGGGGAGGGGAGGAGAGGAGCAGAGAGGAGAGAAGAGAGGAGGGGAGGAGAGGAGAGGGGAGGGGAGGAGTGGAGAGTAGAGGAGAGGGGAGGACAGAAACTCAGAGCATCGGGGGTCTGTCATTGCTTAAGCCAAAATTAATAAAATAGTTCACTCAAATGTCATTGTACAAAAAGGTACAGTACATGCTCCAATCCGTTTTCTTTTTCTATCCACCAGACATATGAGCAGAGAAAGGTTGTGGAGTTCACCTGCCACACAGCTTACTTCGTCAGCGTTGTGATTGTCCACTGGGCCACTCTGCTCATCGCTAAGACCAGGAAGAACTCCATCATTCATCAAGGAATGAAGTATGTGCACATAGCCAAAGCAGTGACTTTCATGCATACATCCAAACATTTTCTCATTGTTTGATTTTATAAAACTAAATCAATGTACTTTATATTTTAGGGTGCACAAAATACAGCGGCAGCATCACGAGACTGTAATAGGTCTAATCATCTGATTTTATCATTAACTGTCCTCAAGTTTTAAAGTAGTATACTGTTGCATAAGTGAAAAATACAGAACTTATCAGTTAACTAGTACCGGTCAGCATGGCAGTGTGTTAGAACACATAATATTATCTCATCATATGTTTAGTATAACTTTTGCTATTTTGCTGATCCTTATATGTTTTATGTGTTTTGGTCATATTAACAATAATCATACTGTAGACTAATAAATAACTGATATGAAATGGTGCTGACTGGGTCAACTCTTTGCTTCCACAGGAACCGTGTCCTCATCTTTGGTCTGTTTGAGGAAACAGCTCTGGCTACCTTCCTGTCTTACTGCCCAGGGATGGAAAATGCCCTCAGAATGTACCCTCTCAAGTGAGTCTGCTACGTGCTCACACAAATATACACCCAGATTTTTCTATCAAAAAGTATCAAATCAAACTAAAATGTGATGTGCAGTGAAATAGCTACAATCTGTTGTCTTTGATTTACAGATACGTTCCAGGGTAATTTCAGTGATACAAAGTTATGCATTCTGCATGTTTTCCTTTCCACTGTAGTTTATTCTGGTTGACATGGCTTCATTTTCTCTGTAAATACTGTGAATAGTCGGTTTGTGTTTACATGGGGAAACACTAGAAAGCACTTAGCTCACAAGTTTGACACACAGCTGACATCTTGTTTTCTTCTGCTCTCCTAATGGCTGGGTCTCAGAAGCCCAGTGTTTGCCCACACAGCTTCATCTGGTCCTGAAGAACCTTCAGCCAATCAGAATGACATAAAACTCTCTGCACCAATATTGCTTATTAACTCAGCCTCTCTAACAGGCCTGAAGGAGTGCTCTTGTCTTTCTGTCAGCTGTAACTTAGTCTCCCTGTCCCTTCATCCATACTTTAGGCCAGACTGGTGGTTCTGTGCCTTCCCCTACGCCCTCCTCATCTTGCTGTATGATGAAGGCAGAAAATATATCCTCAGACGCAACCCAGGCGGTAAGCCCTCTACTGACTTTTTGCTTCCCAGGAGAGTTAAAGCTTTAGCATGTAGAAGTGAATGTAGGGGGATGAGGAGAGCAGGATTGTTTTATTTTGGACAAATGAGAAATTAGATGCAGAAAAATGTGTAGTGTCACATCAAATTTTGTTGCTGTCCAAAGACAACCATGAATCTCTAGGTTTGGCAGCTTGGTGGCATTTTTCACACAAGCTGAAGGATTAAGTTTTCCTTTATTATTTAAGAAACACATCCAATTTGTTAAGCTAAATGAAGAATTTAAAAACTCATGACCTACTTTGTCACAAAGATGACAACATGGGTTTTCCCATGTAAATCCCATGTTAGCCACTGCCTAACATTTTGTGGTGCTATGACTTATAATAACTTGCTCTGGCTTAGTACAGGGAGCAATGTTAGTCATGGCTAGGAGAATAGTGTGAACGTACTAACACAAGAGCTGCTGTGTATATGCATGTGTCTGTTATCACTGTGAGAACTACATCCCCCCACACACCAGTGAACTCGGGCACATGGCAGGACCCAGTTGGATTTGAACCTTTAACCCAGCCATTGTTAATGCCTCGTTCCACCCACTGAGCTGAGCAGAACCTGCATGCAGCGTTGACTCAGATGCAGCTGTGTTTGTACGTGTGTGTCCACTACATCTGAGCCCCACAGCACAGACTGTTGACCATGCCACTGCCCATCTGCTGTGAAAAATGTGTTATAATCAGACAGAAAAAACAAGTTAACATAAGACAGTTTGAAACATTTATATTTGATTAAGGGAGGGTGATACATTTCTAAATAAGTTAAATAAATAAAAAATATGATATACCCACTGTGTACATGACCCAAAGCTGGCCTCCAGATTATTTGTAACCCGGGGCTCAGCAAGGTTTCACACTTTCATACAAAAGTCTTGTTTCCAGCCTGGGGATTTTTTTTTCTTGCCATCTCTGCAGGTCTAAAAATAAAATATGACTTTGGCAAAATATTCACACTGGAATCACACACTGACTTCTGAAATTGCATTTACATCTAATGATAGAGGACCCTATATGTAAGATACTGTAGCTCCAGGGTCAAGTCAGTGTCAGCTGCTCCTTTCTTCTTAGGGAGATTTTGTATGACCTCAAAGATGATATCACATTCTTTTGAGCAACTGTGAAGCAAAAATGCTAACACCTCCATGTTTTTGCAGCATTATCAAGACAGTCACAGCAACAATGTCTCAAAATGAAGGGTCTTGCTACGCTCTTCAGTCCATTCTTGTTTCTTTGACCCACTGTCAGCCAGCATGAAGGATGATGTCATCCTGCAGCCTGAGTGCAAAGTTAAAGGTCACAGCTTTTTTAGATGGACATGTTGGCCATTCTGTCAAATCCCTTCCTTAGATTTGTCTGTGAAAAACAACAAAGATGAGAATTTAGGCTCCAAATATGAGGTGAAACATCCCAAACACTGACCCTAACTCTGTCTCCTTTGGTTTCTAGGTTGGTTGGAGAATGAGACATACTATTGAGTCAACACAACACAGTTACGGAGGGAGCAGTCACTGTTTCACCATTATTTACTATCTGTCTGAGATGTTAGTCAGAACCCCCGATACACAAAACATGAATAAAATAATATCCTGTTGTTCATGTCATTCAAAATAAAACTGCTGTACCACTGTGCACTGAGGCTGCTTGGACATCTGTTTCTTGTGCACACACTTTTTGTGTTTTCTCTGACATGTGGAGAGTAAGAACAGCCCTTTGTGGACTTGATTCAGGATGCAGTTTCAAGGTTCAGTAGATGTGTTCCAGTGAGTCATGCAGCAGCAGTTCCTTAGCTTAAGAAGTTGAAGATGACAGGTTCTGAGCGGGACAAGAGTTTAAGACAATGGTAACAATAGACATTTTATAACAAGCCACTATCACTAGCAACTGAAAAAACTGTGCTATATGTAAGTTGTAGTAGGTGACAAGTTAAATGAAAAACCCAAATAAATGAATACGGATACTGAGACTTTTCCCCTTAGAAGGAGGAATCATTTCAAATCAATAAAAAGTTGATCGGAGTGGTCACCTGTGTCTTTGATGAAACAATTTTATCCTGATGGGAGTGGTCTCCTGTGTATCCATTACTGTGCAGTAATCATATGAAAGTACACTGAATTTTACATGTACAAAGCATATTTTCCAACCACATATTGAGGACAAGCCTGTGAGAGAAGCTTGTGTGTGTGTGTGTGTGTGTGTGGCCATTATTAGTCTGTCAGTCTCTTACAGTGGTGTTTGTTCTGTTGACTGCTAATGCAAAGAGACCCTCAGCAAAAATGAACCGGGACCACTCTAGTGCTACTGGATGTGTGTTTATCCTGGTCATTATGAACACCCCCTTCTCTCTCCTTCAACACCTCTTATGTGTGTCCACAGTATCCCACCATCATACCAACCTGGTCGCAGGTTCACACACACCAGGAAAACATTTGAGCTAATAGGCAGAATATGAGCAGGAAGTATCGATTGTCATTAGTGAAAACTGCATGAACGAATGAGTGTGTCAGCCAGTTAACCAGGTTATTCTTTTATAAAACATGGTGCAAGTCTCTCCATAAAAGTATGGAGGGATGCAGAGCATATACAACAACAAAGCACATGCGGTTCATAGTTAGGTCAGTGGAGGAGAAGTTCACTGGGACGTGGTGTTGCTTTGGAAGAGATAGGCTATGTTCCCTATCTCTCTGCAGCTTGTATGACGAAAGAAGAGGCTCTTTGTCTATTTAGCCACCCGTCAGCTTTTCAAGGCTGCTGGGAGTGTAAATATTGCTGCTGTTGTGTGTGGATGGAAGAGTAGGAGAGTTTTAGAATTGATTAGTTTTCATCAGATTCTATTAATGTCATTAAACATCCTCTTTGCCCCTCTTTCATTGCATCTCTCTCACTCCTCATTATGCTGCTGTCCACAGAGCTGTGCTAACTGCTAACACCTTTTATAATTGTGGTCAGTGGAAAAAATTCTTCCTAGGCCACAGGAGAGTTTTTGTACCAATGCTGCAAGTTACAACAGAGGCAGAGTAGTAGCAAGCCTGAGTGGCTGTGCTGTATCCAGCTCTCTCACTCCACCCATGATGCGTTATTGTTAGTTTTAATAAGATTGTGAGGGTCCCACAGGAAAATCTTCACGAGTGGAGGAGTCAGGAGAGGAATTGTGTGTGTGCGTGAAAGAGACAGCATGATTATGATAATGAAAGAATGGAGGGGAGTGTACAGGTGTTATGGTTGTAAGAACCGAGGTTGCATGGATTCAAGATGGCTGACCCAGGTGCTAGTACAAAAAAAACAGGTTTAAAGGAACAAAAACGCAAAGTAACATAACAGGGGCCATGTACATACATAATAAAAGCAGGGCAGAGAAGGTGGAGGAGACCCGGACCAACACGTAAACAAATAAACGGACAGCAGGATTTTTTTTAGGAGAGCAGGAGGATGAGGATAGACAAGTGGAAAAAAGGTAGAAAAACAAAAACCGAAAATCAACAGCACAGGGACTGTCAGCGTTGATATATCGGCACGTTTTGCGAAAAGTATAAATAACGTGAATAAGGTCAAGCCAAAACGCACAATAACTGTCAGCGTAGCATTCTCACACAGACGTACATTTATGCGGTTTTAACACAAAATTTGTCACATACTTGGGGTGGGTAAATATTCCGGCGACAGTGACGCGTCTGCCAGAGGTATAAATAAGGAAGGAGTCAATCATCGGGATGCACCCCAGCTGTGTGCACCGACAAACGAATCGCTAATTAGGAATGCAACACAGCTGAGGTGCAGAATCCCGCAGGTCGAGAGGAGAGAAAGGCGGAAGAAAGGCAGGTTGAGAAAACAGAGGAGAGAAAGGCAGGTCGAGAGAACGGAGGAGAGAATGGCAGGTCGAGAAAACAGAGGAGAGAAAGGCGGAAGAAAGGCAGGTTGAGAAAACAGAGGAGAGAAAGGCGGAAGAAAGGCAGGTCGAGAAAACAGGAGAGAAAGGCAGGTCGAGAAAACGGAGGAGAGAAAGGCGAAAGAAAGGCAGGTTGAGAAAACAGAGGAGCGAAAGGCAGAAGGAAGGCAGGGTGGGGAAAAAGG